TTAAATTTTGCATGTGCTATTTTCCGGTTGAGGAGCCATTTTTTCAACAATGGTGAAAATAAAATGTGTTACACCACACCACCCACCCACACCCACTTTAAAATGGCCGGACCACTTGCAAAATGCTTCTGACTGCTATGAAAAAAGTTTTGTTTTATGGATTTCTAGATAAAAAATGCTTTAATAACAAAATAATGTCTATTGAGCGAAAGGGATTAATTTAATCTTTACTCGTCATGATTATAAACAATGAATACAACATTGTAACTTTACGCGTTCATCCGTTCACTTTTATAATTTGTTTTAATTGTACAGTAATTGTATTTTGTACGGTATTGTTGAGCGAATAAATTTAATCAAATAAAAGCATTCAGTGGTATTGAAATTCAATAGCATACTTGATACATAAATGTCTTTAATATCGTATATGGATATATGTCTATCATTTTGTTTACAATAGGATCAATCTTTTAGTGACCATGTTTGTCTGCATCACTAATATTGATTATAAATGGGACCAAAAACTTTTGACGATAAACGCTAGAATTAGGCTAGAAAATATAATTACTGACCGACCGACAGGCCGACCGACCAACCAACCATGATTTTTAAATTTACTACGCTTGTTAGGCAACACAGCATTGTTGTCCAGTCCAAGATGGTTGATTTAAAATATTGAATTTTATAGTTCATGATTTCAGCTAAATATTATAGACAATATAATAACTGTTGGCGACCCATAGACGTTTGTATGTGCTTCTTTAACAATGCATAAATGAAAGAAAACATTGGAACATAACTCAAGTTATTGGTATGTTATTGCATCTGAAAATATCAATAACTTGAGTTATAAATTACTGGTTGAGTCGATAATATATTTCAGAAATGTAACATTGAGAGTATTTTCTATTATATTGAAAATAATCGAGATATACCCAATCCTATATGGGCAGCTGAAATAAAACATGCTCTAAAACAAAATTCGTTAAATTGCTGGAAGGATGATATTAAAAGCAAACCTTCTATTGTAAAATACTCATTAATTAAAACGTCACGAAGTATGGAGGAGTACCTTCTTGACGGTACTGATTTTGAAGGAGCATAAAAAAAAATTGTCTAACGATAAGAGTGACACTGGAATTTGTGAGGTGTTCAATGATAATTCCATTGAAGACATTGATCATTTTCTGCTTGTATGCCCAGTTCTTGAAAACATTAGAAGAATGGAAATATTACACTTTAAAAATAATCTCCAATCACTAAACTTTCACCACGTTTGGGATAAAATGATTAATAATAATTAATAAAAATTTAAATATTACAGGAAAGGTATGTTTTATTCTTGCAATGAAAATGAATTATATAAAAAGGAAATTATTGTGGAAATTGATAAATTTAGCAAATCGTTGTCTAAAAACCTGTGGAAAGAAAGGTCATTATTATTGCATGCCTCTACCTCATAAGTAATCTTTTGTGTTGTTGTGTTTTGATTTGAAATGATTTTTTTATGTGCTTATCTGTATCTTAATATCGTAATAATTTAACTTTAAAAAAATAGTATTACTACAGTAATTTTGTATTTATTGGATTTTGCTTTAACACCAATACAGTACTGTACACTGTTACTGTATAATAGTTTTGTATAACTTTTAGTTTCTTTTAGTTTAGAACGCACTAAATCATTGTGTGCCACTGAAATAAAAGTGTATGTTCAGTTGTATAAATAAATAAAATAGAACACTGAATGTTGTATCTGATATTCCTAATATTTATTTTCAAATTTGTTCAATTTTGAAATTATTTAAGAGATTACCCTGCATGAAAAATTGAACTGCCATTGAAGGGACAGTAAGCCATTCTGTAGCAAAGGCAAGGAGTCTATTTGGTGGAGGTATTAGAATGAGGTAGGTTAGCCTGTGGGCTATCCTAGACGCGAAAACGACCAGAAGTGCATCGCTGCAACAACAAAAAACTCGGATTTGTGAGTGTGTAAACGAACCCGATCTTCGTTTAGATGACATCTAAAAAAAGAATGATATAATACCTTAAAATAAAATATTAAAAGATCATTGGTATAAAGTTAAAGTAAATTATTGATAGTCCATCGCCACACCCAGCAATTCTGGTTGAAATGGAATGACCCCAAAATGGCCGCAGGATGAAAACGTCAGGTAGAGCAAAAATATCACTCCTATAGTATTGTTACTGTTATTGAAGGATAAAGTTTACACATTTAAATGGTACGGTATATGATAATCAAACTCGGTAGAGATCTGTGGTTGTGTCTACTCATTTTAAATAGATAAACTTTATTAACCGAGGACTTTTAACTGTTACGAGGACTTTAAACTGTTACTATTAAAAGTCCTTGTTTAAAACGTCTTACCACCAAAGCCAAATGAGCCGTGCTGCGTAATTGCGTGTGTTAGTTGTAGCCTAGAATATAATTGTTTGATAGTTTATTATTCTTACTTATGATTTAACTACAATTAAGTTTTACTTTAACAAAAAAAAAACAAAAAAAAAAACACTTAGATTAAATACGGTAATTGACTGTTTTTATTTAGCTTTTTGCATGCCTGAGTGTTCTTCAATAACACGATACAATAAATAGTATAGGGCTACGCCACGACATCCAGATACAAACATGAAAATGCAAATAATCGCCTTATTCTACTGGTTGTTGTTTGTTAAACCACGCCCACCTGCGCAGTGGTAACATCTTACTTAACGAAGACGACCAGTCGAATAGAAATTTTGTAAATACTCGACAAAACAAAATGGCTGCATAGTTACCGCGATACAAGATTGCTTCTGCTTGTGGCAGCATGGATTTCTCGTAAAAGAAATGTTTTCATCCAGTTTTTGAATTTTGTTTTGCTACAGTTATTTTTGACTTCATGTGGGTAAATATTATAATTTTTATTTTCTGAAAGTTAATCTAAATTATAGGCTATTAACGCAAATGTTGTTTCTAAACTGACCAATCGGCCATGTTTGTTTTGGTCAAACGCAGGTTAACGCACCCTGGTTACGTTACTTGTCGTTGTCAACGAAGTCTATTTTACGAACCAGTCCAGTGAAAATAATACTCAACAAAAATTCGTAGTCGAGTATGCCCAATGCAAGTAATAAAGAGTTTCTCCCCAGTACGATCTATAAGGAATTTAAAAAAACTAAAATAAATGTAAGAATTTGACTTCCAGAATATTTTTTTCTACGAAAATGTTTTTTATGCTAAGATGCTTTAAAAAGTATTAATGTTTATATTTGAAATAAAGTTTTTGATTCAATCATAATCATAAATAATTGTAATAAGTGGAACATTGTATAAAATTGTTGAAAGAATTATTCACGAACAAATCTTTAGTCATATCTCATCGACTACAAATGACAAACAACGTGGGTTTTTTTCCTGGTAGGTCAAATGAGACCAATCTTTCAATGTTTTTATCTTCAAATGAGACCAATCTTTCAGTGTTTTTATCTTCATGCATACTCTGCAACCAATACCAAAAGTCAATATAAAGTCAAGTAATCTACACCGATATGACTAAAGCATTTGATCACGTTTCACATAATTTGTTACTTTATGAACATTTTTCTAGTGATATTAATTCTTTTATATCCAGTTATCTAAACGGTAGACACAAAAAAGTTATCATTGATAGTTGCTCATCTAAATGGCTTCCTGTTATGGCGGGGTTCCCTATGGGAGCATTTTAGGTCCCATTTTCTTTATATGTTTATTATTGATTTTTCATTTGATCCTTGTTTTTCTAATTGTTTATTATTTGTTGATGACATCGAACTTTTTAAGGCTATTGCTAATGTCCATAAATATGAATCTACTCCAGGCAGATTTGGATGATCGTTAAATGGTACGTTATAGCTGGGGTATGTCTCTAAATGTCTCCAAAATAATTTCTAATATCTCAGTATATCTGTTACTCTTAAGTAAAAACCTATTCACTTCGATTTCAAAATTAATAAGATTGTTCTTGAGAAAGTTTCAGTTCATAAGGATTTTGGTATTATTGTTGACGACTTCAATTTTTGTAAACATGTTGATTATGTGGTGTCTAAGAGTAACAGATTACTTCACTTCATTTCGAGACATTGCAGGCACATCAATGATAGTTAAAGCTTAGTTATATTATATAAATAGTTAGTTAGATCTAGCCTGGAATTTTATTCTGTTTCTTTTTAATTCAATTTCTTCTTCAGAATCCATTAGACTAGAACGTGTTGAAAATAATTTGTGTAAATTTTACTTCATACAAAATTTGATCATAATCCTAAATTACTATCTCTTAATGATAGATGAAATTTAGTTGATTTAATTTTCCTTTATATATGAATTCAATTTATGATGGACATTATATTTCGACTTTCTGTTCCAACGTATAGATTACGAAATCCATCGTTATTTGTTGTGCCACCTGAAAGTTATAAAAAAATGGATTTATTTATCGTTTTTCTAAGTTGTTATTGGCATTTCCAGTTCAAATCAATCTATTAATATTTTTGTGATAGTAGACCTATTTGTTGTTTCCATCATAAAATTATTGTTACATACATATTTAGTTTTTTGTTTTATTAATCATTTTTTTAAAAATTTATTATTATTTCTTTCGGGAGGGGGGTTAAATGTAAAGTGTTGTTTTTTGGAGTTATTGTTTTTTCTTATATATGAGATTTTGATATTACATATGTAAAATTTTAAGTCATATCTTGTTCTGGGCGACGTATATCGCCGTTGGATTTTGGTAAAATAAAATATAATTAAAAAAATTGTAGGCCTAACATTATTGCTTTGATTCTGCTCATTAAGTTTACTTGAATTCGTTATTGTATTTTGGAAATTGTTGAACAGCACATTTTAAATTGCACATGTACATTACTAAAATATTTTTTTAGTTCAAAAAAGGTGCTCCATGGAGATTAGACGTAAATTACTTTCTAGAAGACAGTTGCGTAATTTGAGTAAATCCATTTTATTTTCATTATTTTTTCCGCCGGGGTTTCAACAACCCTGGTATTCGCCTCAACACCACGCCGTATCTTCTGACGTGCCTTAAAAACATCAGAATAAATGCTGCCCTCTATTGTTGAATATATAACTTGCTATCTCAACAACAAAAGAAAAGAAGGAAACTTCTTTTTCGATCCATCCCCCAACTAAGATGTTTACCACCTGACAGTAGACCAGCATATATATGTGTATACCTATACGAGTGGGACATTGTAACGTGAATGCTTTGATTCCGTTCACAATTGTCCGATAAATTCTATCGTGAGCCTACTGTAATTTTTGGAACCAAATACATACAATAATAATAACAATGAAGTTAGTAACTAGTCGTGGTGACCAGATTCTGGTATTGTGGCTCAGGTAAGTCGATGATGTCCTAGCGATGATCAAGAAAGGTAAAATTTTTGAGGTGCTTGTTTAGCTTCAGACTTAATCATACACTGTAAAAAGGATTTAAACGCAAAGCTCCACGCACTGTTGTCTCGTCTTTGGAAACACATTTATATCAAATATCTAAGCACATCTAAATGTAAAACACTTCAAAATACTAAACACATTAGGCCGGTCCTAAACATGTTTGGCTTTTAAACGTGTCACGATAAGATGGGGACAACATCGTGTGAAGCTTTGCGTTTAAATCCTCCACGCTGTTTTTACAGTGTAGCAACACCTATACATGTTTCTCCTGACGCAAATCCAGTTATTGTCTATTCCATCACGACATTAACAATTACTAGCAACATAAGATTCACCTGAGAACACCTGAGAAATCATGAATGACAAGAAGATAGCCTTCCTGGATACCCTTATTGCACATGATGGAAACATCTCTACTGTACTTCTGTATATCGTTGATTGGGTTCCAGTCTCTAAATTTTGTCTTAATCAAATCTATTAATAATTTCATTAATTTTATTTTTAATCGCAAAAACCATCATCATAATAAACATTATTTCCAAAAGTAATAAAATACAAAGCAACAGAATCAATGTCCAATAAATTAAAAGAATGTAAAAATATTTTGTTTAAAAACTCTTTGAAAACAGAATTTGTTATATGACCAGTAATGGGAAATCAATAACATTCCTACTGAATTGAATATTCATGCATCTTGTTTTAGAAGGATTAATGGTCATGGTATTATCAACAGACATGGTTAATTCATTCTCAACACTTTAGAGTAAACCATTGCTTCCCTAAAACATTCAGCAATTTGAAGTCGTCAACAAATTTCTATCTACTGGGAAAATTAATAAGAGAATCATTAACGAGTGCTTTAAACACTTCTACAGCAATTAAGGTGCCCCAGGGAAAACGCAAGTAATATTTCCCGGTTTGAAACGTCCAAACAAATGATACACATTGTTTTCTGTGAGAGTTATAAGTTTGTTAAACAACATTTTATGGTCGATCGATAGCCTTATATTCAAATGAAACTACCCGTGCACAGCGACCTAGACTGGGTTTCAGTCCCTAAATTGTGTCTTGATCAGTCAAAACTATTAAAAATAACTCGATTTTGGCACCAATGGCGTTCCATATCACTTTGCATAAATGGCGTTCTATACTAAGCCAGAAAATTATAGTATGGAACGTCATTGTGCAAAGTAGCAATACGTCAACATTGGAGTGGAGCTGAAGCTCAGTGGCCGGCTCAGTGGGTAAGATGCTTGCCTTCTGATCCCAGGATGCTGGGTTCAATTCCTGTCACGCAGGTATTTTTCTCACGACTAAAACAACTCCAATATAAAGCATCATTCTCATCCTGTAGGCCTAAATGGCGAGTGTAGTTGATGTTGGATGTGAGGAAATAAAAAAAAACATTATAAAGTTGAAATTAAATATACTAGTCACCTACAAATTCCCCTGCATTAAAACTTGAACGGCCATTGACAGGACAGTAAACCAGCCAGTAGCAAAAGCCAGAAGTCTTGCTGGCTGAGGTATTGGAATTAGGTAGGCTAAGCTGTGGGCTATTCTAGACGCGAAAAAGACCCTGAAGTGCATCGCTGCAACAAAGTAACTCGGATTAGTGAGTGTGTAAACAGACCCGATGAAAAGAAATGGAACAATATTCTCCAGGTCGTTCAGATGGCATCTAAAAAAACAAAACAAAACAAAATACATGATAACAATAAGTCCTGAGTATACGTTATATGGTACAGCATGCAGTTAAACTACAACATAGACGTCTACCAACTCCATGTGCCTGCTAAATAGGCCTACTATACTTTTTAATAGACCGAATTAGCGATCAACGCTGTTCAGCTTTAGTGGGTATTCGAACCAAAACAAACGCACGAAGATAGGCGATTTACACAGTAATTTAAGAAAATGGCCTTTACTAAAACGTCTCATACACGCTTTGTGTGTAAAGTTGAGTGTGATTTAAATTAACAGAAACCATTGTTACATGTTTATGAATGTAACGTCATCTTTTCTCTACGATTGTGTATGCCAAATGTGAAATATAACGAGAATAAATCGTACTATTTTGGGAATAAAACGTACATTGGTCGCGTCTGCCTGTGTATGTACGGCAGCCGTGTATTCACTCACACAGTGAATCATGGCGCCGGTCGCGATTTTTTTTTCCGTACGAAACATTTGCATGAAACTTCCCTCGGGCCATCTCGGATTGACTCGAGTGAGAACGATACGAGGAACAAGAGCAGACACTTCGCAATGTCGTGACGCTCGAGTTTTACTATTATTGCTCTTTCTATGTTTA